CGATCAAGGTAATCGACTCGCTTCCCTTCAGTTTCGCCGGGGCAAGCTATTGCTAAGTTTACGAGCTGTTGTGCTGCGTAAAACCGAAAAACTCTGCAAAACAAGACCCCCATCAAGCTCACATGTGAACTCACACTCTCTACGTGCACCCGCTGCCCAGTGGGAGGTTCAAAAAGGGAACCGTTCCCATTACGCAAATCGCAATTCAGCCAAGCGGTCTGTTTCGCCTTCGTGGTGGACCACTGGCACCTCGCACACTTGCGGGGATCATTATCGCACAACTGATAACACGAGCGAAACATTGCACAAACAGAGGGAGCAGGCGGCCGAACGACACCAACCTTTTTTTCACGACTCTGCCCTGATTGGGCCACCTCCACTTCCTGTGGCCTGACCGCCTCGATCTGGCTCTGGAGGATCCTCTTTCGAGAATGCCTAATGCTCGACGCGATGGTACCTGCCACGAATCGTAGTCGGCAGCCTGACAACTTGGGCTCAAGATCCTGCGAACCCGTCAGCCAGTGTGTTGCCAACGGCGAGCAATCGAGGCGCCCTCACAAAACAATGTAGATGGCCCCCGGATGCGAAGGAACAAGAAATGTGTGGGTCGTGCTTGGCGGATCTGACCGTCCTACCATCACGCGTCTGCATCAGGTCCTGCGGGCGCTCGACAGTTACACCGTGAATCCGTCGCTCCCCCGAAGGGACAGTAGCAATACTTGCGACTCAACTCGGGCAACCACTTGCACGGGTCCTGGGAGTGCCCCCCACGCGCCGAAAGAAAAGCTCACCTCGTCCGTCAGATCGCGATGCGCTGCAAGCCCAAGTCCTAGCCGCCTCAACTTCGGGCGAGGACTGTCGGCGCCTTCACCCGCGCCCCTGCCTCCGAAAAAAAACTCGAAACCCATGGCCTGCCGATCCGCGCCAGCCGAGCGAGGTTCAACCGCGGGCCACGGAGAGGGAGCCAGACCTCGAGCCCCATAGCATGCTTCGGCCTCTTCCTGGGCTCGCGCCTCACTTGCGAGACCTCCAGTCATTTCGTGAATGGGGTGGTTCTGATGACGACCACCGTACTCCCAAACACCATGCAAAGCCTTTGCCTGACAACTCTCGCAACGAACGCACCAATCGGACCTCGTTTGTATCGCGCGGCGGTCTGGGGCCTCGCGTGAGGCCAGGCGGCCCTTGCAGAGGCGGGAAGAAGCCAACCAGACAACCGACGTCCGTCTGGCGCCTGTTCGAGATGCCGCAAGAACCGTCGGCGAGGTAAAATGCAGACCCCACGCCCCGCGCGGGCGCCCTCGAGGTGAACGGTAGCCTGAGCCCCGATTAACCCCTGCACGGTCTCCTCGGACTCCACGAGAATCGCTGACGATAATTCCAAGTCAACAAAGCCTGCGCGCGCGCCTGGAACTCCCAACTCTTCGCCGCGCCCACGCCGTCGCCAGGGTCCGCCGAACATGCTGGACCTGCTGGTTTCCACCCAGCATGCGCGGGGTAGCGGATGGCGATGCTCTGAAATCCTCGAACGGCCCGAACACGACGAGCACCGCCAAGTTCGCCCGCGACACTGCGATGCCATGCCTGGCGCGCGGTTGGGTGGTCGAGAAATGAAGCTATGCCCTGAGCGGCTCCTTCGAGACCTCGCATGCTAGGTCTCCCGTCGGCGCCCTCAAATCGAAAAGTGCTGCGGGACGCCCTCCTGCAGACGCAATCCCACAATTATTGTCGTCGGAACGGAACCGTGGCCGGAAAACCAAAAAATGGAGCTGGTGCCCGTGGGCGCCAGATGCCAGAGCTCCCCGCTGCCCTTACTGCACCACGCCACTAGGCAACATATAATGTAATGTCGCGCGGCTGCAGCAGACGTCACATTTTTCCGATGCATGGACATGCGCTTAGCAGCGCGTTGGACTCGACGCCGACGGGCCCGTCGAACTCCACCAAAAAGGTCGCCACCAAAGTGGGCAACCTGATCCGCGGCTTCCAATGCAAATCCGCGAGCCGGAAAACGCCGTGCCACAGTCCTGGCATCCTTGAGGCTGGTGCATGCGACTATACTTTCAGCTGCAATGGGAAATCATGCTGCCTGCATGCGCCTACAAGTATCCACCTGGGCCACCATGGACTTAGAGGAACCCTTGACCGACGGGCTGAGGTCGCCCACCCATACTGGGTGTGTCATGAGAGGATGGGCGGCGGCCCGCTCGCGCACGTGCACGCCGCGCACTTGCCAAACCACTCCCCAACGCGAAGTCTCTGGACAATGGAAAAATGCTCAGAATACGCGCCCCCCTGTCGCACGCACCGCGCAGCCACGCGCTGCTGCGACCCCGGCCCAACGACCACCGCGGGGAAGCCGAATCGGTGAGCTGCGCGCCCTAACCCGGGCCAGCCAATCGCATCATGAAACGGAAATGCATCTGGCAGCCCATGGCCATGGGTAGCGCGCGATCGCCCTGCCAAGTCCTCATTAATAGACATCGAGAGTACTTCGCGAACTGGTGCGGGGCCATGAATGGCCGCGCCCTAATGGGCGTCGCGTTCACCCGCCCACTGGCGCACAGATGGCTCGCGAGATTGCGCCGGCGCCCGCGCAACATTTGACGGCAGCTCAGCGACGCGGCCCCCCCGGAATTTCCCCTGTGGAAGCGCGCCAATCGCGAGTTGGGCCTGGCGAGGCCAGCGCTGCGTAGCCACGCAAAGAAGGAACACAACAATCACGTCCCCCAGTGCCGCATCGCGCAAACGAGCCAGGTCGTTCACGCATAATCAGTCAACGCCCGCGGCGTCGCTGGGCCAAGCGCGCCCAATCACCTGCCGAAGCGCGAAGACCACGAGAGGCGGTGAAGGCCTACGCGTAACGCGGCGACGCGCGCTGGCAAAGAACCCGCCCCCCCCCCCCCCCCCCCCCCCCCCCCCCCCCAAGCTCGCGAACATCTGTCGACTCGCCGCCGAACTCGAGGTCGCTGGGGGGCCAGACCATCGCCTGCTCCAAACACTTGTAGCCCGATACCTGCCTGGGATGTAAAGCGCCGCAGGCGTCGACCACAAGTTCGCGATCGCCACTGGGGGCGCCTCGCCACTTGCGGTGCAACGAACCGATGGCTGGCGCCATTCCCGCCCAGCCCCTGTATTCTGGCATCGGCTGGGCCACTGCCCGGCTCTGACTCCTCCTCGCCACCGCCTCGACGAGTTGGAACCCTGCGTCGAGCTCAGCGAGACACGCGGTCCAACTCAGATGCGAGAATTCGTCGCGGCCACCAATGCAAACAACGCAGCGCCCGAAGTACTGGGCGAACTTTCTCGGGGGATGCGCGTGGTAGCCGGTGGGCCGCAGCGAACGACGCGCCGTGCAGCGTCTCGCGCCCCTGCCACCGACGATGATTCGCCGCGCCGCTGGCGCCGGCGCTATCTCGCGCCCGCCAACTACTCGCCTTGTCACGTAAATGACCCAGCCGAGTTGGCGGCGCCTGCCGCGCCGTCGAAATCCAGAAACTGGCGCTTCGCTGCGAGATCTCCCGGCGGCGGCCCGACGGCGACGGGCGCGGGCGGCGGCGCCCGCGACGCGAATGCGCCCGCTGCAGAGGGCACCGACGCCGCCCGAAGCCATAGAGCCAAAAGAAAAGGCTGCAGAAGAAGTGACAGCAGGAGCAGGGTGCGAGGCAACTGTTATCATAAACCCAATGTCCCGTCTTTGCTTCAGCCACGCGCTCTCAGAAATATCACATTCGGGGCCGCAGGGCCTGCGCCCCTGGCCCGTCGGAAGATGGCCCCCAGGGGTTGCGGGCGGGCAAAGCGCCGCTTAAAATTTCGCGCGGGCCCGAATGATCTGCCCCTCACGGCCGCCGACTCTGGTGATTTCCACTTGAGACAGATCAGCGAAGAGAGTGGCAGCGCGGGGCGGTTGGGGGGGCGTCGGGCCCGGCGAAGCTGTTCTTGTCGGCCCAGGGGTCGCCCTCCGAGAATTCAGCCCGCTCGCAGTCGTCGCGCGCGCCCTTGCAGGCCGCGTCGCCCCCGCAACCTGCGTCGACATGCCCGACGAAAAAGGCCCGCCCACCCCCGGCTCTCCTGTCCCGGCTCGAGCCCATCCGAACACCAAAACTTCAGGCGCGAATTGCGAGCGTCGGCTACCGCTTGCTCACCTGCAGCTCGCCTGGCCGTCGCTAAACTTAATCTTGACGCAGCGGCAGGAGCTGCCCCAGGTTCACATAACCTCGGAAACTCAGGGGGAAGATCGAAGCGCCTAGCGCAAGGCTGGGACCCCTCAAAGACTAACTCAACGTTGAGGCCTGCATGGGGCCTCCCAGGCACGTCGGCCCGAGCCTGAAGACTTCTGGCGCATGGCTTAGCGGAATGACTGATGGCCAACACGTCCAAACGAGCAGGCATTGTTCCTCCTCCTCCTGGCGCGCATGCGCACTTCGCGCCTGAGCGCGCTATCTGGCCCCCCACTTGCTGGAGAAACCCTGCGCGCCGCAACTGGCCAGACGTGGAATTCCAATCGGCGCAGCAAAATGTCCAGGGCAACTGCGTTGTCCGAAACAGGCTCCCTGACTTCCTGCTCGTGCCTCGTTCCCACGGCTGCAATGCATTCAAAACTCACGACTGCTATGACAAGTCCTAGCATATGGAATGCACGCGGCACGACGCCGTGATAACAGTCGCCACTGCCGCTGGCTGCCTTCAGACCCGTAGCTGCGCGAGCCTCGTGCAACAACTAGACAGCGCGATGGTTTTCGCGCAGGAGCCACTCCCCCCCTCGCTAGCGCAGCCCTTGCCCCCTGGCTTGGACTCAGCTGTTCGCGATTGCGGACGGGCTGGGCTCGAGAACATCTTGAGCGATTGCTGCCCAACCTTGGTGGCCCACGTGGGAATTGCCGACCGTCCGACGTGTCAAAACATAACACACGAGGACATTCCACGACGTGTCTTCCGCGCAGGTCACGCTGCCGAAAAAAATCGCTGGCGCCACTGGCCCCACTAGCCGAAGTCTCCCTGGCGGGGGGCTGTATCTCTGCAGCCCCATCAAAACGAGCTGTAGATAGTCGCCAATTCGCTGGCGCCGCGGGAAACGCCCTGGGCGGCGGCGCCCTCCCCCCAGCCGCGGCCGCATCAGCCGCCTTGGGCCCGGCACGGGCCTCGCCCTTGCCATCGCCTTCGCCGCCGCCGTGAACCTGGCCTCCGAAATCCTCGCGGCCTCGCGCTCGAGCTCCTCGGATGTGAAGTTGTCCCAGAACCCGCTGTTTATCGTGATGCCGATGACTTTGGGTTCTGGCCCCATGCCCTCCCTCCCACCACCAGCAGCTACAACAGCCTGCGCACCACGACCCTGATGGATCCGTCCCCTGCGCGCGGGCCAGCGCAGTCGTGGCAGCCTTCTTGGTCGCCGCGGACTTCGCCAGCTCGACGGTCGCCGCCTTCTCCTTGCATTCAGCCATGTGAAGTTGAGAACGTAAGCGAAGTATTCGATTGACCAGCTGTTCGTGCCTGCGGGAAGCGGCACGCCAAGCGCCGTCAGCGGCCCTGGCTGCACCCACCTCGCATCCAGCCTCGGGAACCTTGGACACATCCTCCAGCCTCGACCTCGGCGCCTTCAGAACTGCTTGCATATCTGCGTCCTATGTGGCCTGCAGCGCCTTCTGAAGCAGCATGTCCAGCTCCTTGGCCTTGGCAATGCACTTACGGTCTCCTCAAGGGCGGTGGCTCCTACAGCGCTGCATCCCCCCACCGACGACTGCATCCTCGGACTTGACTTGTCGAGCACTCCGACCACCGCGATCGACATGAGGGATACGAGGACGAAAAAGCTGCAGCGTTGTGCTGCACTACCTGCACCGACACCCTTGCTTGACGAGTACGCTTTTGTACTCGCACACTTTGCATGAGACGCACCTCGTCCATGGGCGTTTCAGTGCCATGATCCCTTCTTTCGCACACGGCTGACAGTGGGGCTAAGATAATCTAGTCGTGCAAACTCGAGAACCACGTGTTAGGTACAGGCATTGGGGAGGAGGGAGGAGGGAGGCAAACTAGATGTGCATCGCGCAGTTCTGACACCGAGACCACCCGCACCCACCCACCCGATCCCGTTGCGCTGAAGTCGTTCCAGTCCGCCGACTGGGGTATCCCAGAGGGCCTTGTCCCCCACATTGACCCGATCGCGTCATGCACAATCAAAAGGGAGGCGTTGCGCATTGGAAGGGAGGAAGGTCGCGGATGAACAGGAGGATGGGCAGGAGGAAGATGGGGACGATCAGCAAGGAGGACGAGAGCAGCAGCAGCAGCAGGAACAGCAGGAGGGCGAGTGCAAGGCGGAGGAGAAACTGCTGCCGCAACTGCGAGGGGGCGGCAACGACGAGGAAGAAATCCGATCCCGAAATGTGGCCCGCGCTATGGCGAGAGCGCCGCCGTTCTGAACGAGCTCCCGAAGATGTGGCCAACCCTGCAGCGGGTCCAAACACCAAAGATACTTCAACAACTCAGAGTAGTTTGCCAACAACCTACGCGAGAGAGGTGGAAGGGCGCTGGAACAAGATCTGGTCGTTAGGGATAACGGGGAAGAAGGAAAGTGAGAAGAAGACGGATGGGGACAGATCCCACTCATCAACCTCAATGTCCTCCTCCTTCTCCACCATCATCATCACCGTCGTCGCCGTCGTCGTCACCATCAGTATTGTCATCAGCACAATCATCGCCACAAGCACCACCATATCATCATCACCACCACCATCATCCTGGAACTCGCCTTTCTTGCCATGATTGCCCCTCTCCTCCCGTTCCCCCGCCTCTAAATCCGCATCATCCTCCTCCACCTGTGATCCATTCTCCGCTTCCTCCCCCTCTGATCTCTCGATGCTGGGTGCCCCGCCTGTGCCTGGGGCTGTTGGATCCGCGCCTGCACCGTCGCGGGGGGGCAGCGGCACCACCTCGGCCGAATCCCAGGAGGGAAAAGGTGAGCCCGCCCTGTTCTCAACTAGACATGGTGAGCCTCCCGATTCACAACTGCACTTTATGAATACCACTCTCTCCTCTTTCCCTTGGCTCTGTCACTGGGAACCCGGGAACCCCGCAATCGGGAACGCAGAACCCAGAACCCGGGAAACAAGAACCCGGGAACCGGGAACCCGGGAACCCAGAATCCGGAACCTGGGAACCCGGCGGCCCACCGAAATCGGCCGCCCACTTTCGCCAAATCCTCCAAGATCCGCTAGGACCTTTTCAGTGCAAGCAGTGATTGGGGACAAATTATGGTTCCGATGGTGTTGTTTCAATCCGATTGTTGTCGGTGCGTCAAAATGATGCTCGCGCTGCAGCGTGGGCCTCATTGTCGGATCGACGCTTTGCTCCGGGCGCTCAGAATGGCGCTCTCGCCCCAGCGTGTGCCACTTTTTCGGTCCGAGTCCTTCCCCATCGTTGTCGCCCCCCTCCTTTCGCCTCCTCCGCCTTCCCGTGGTCCTCCTGTTCCTCCCACTCCTTCCACTGCGGTTCCCGCGGCTGCTGTTCGTCCTCGTTGTCCTCCTCTTTCCTCATCCTCCCTCGCTTCCTCCTGCTCAGCCCTGGCCTCCTGCTCCTCCCGCCCCTTCGAAGCCAGTTCCTGCTACTGCTGTTTGTCCTCGTCCTCGTCCTCGTCCTCCTCCTGCTCTTCCTCCTCCTCCTCCTCCTCCTCCTCCTCCTCCTCCTCCTCCTCCTCCTCCTTCCTCATCACATTCCTTGTCCTCCTGCTCAACCGCCATCTCCTCCGCCTCCTATGTACGCAGCTTCCCTTTTCCGATTGCGCATGATACGGAGGAGTCCTTTTTGGAGTTCCAGACCAGCTAAGACACGCGTCCGCGGATAGAGAAACAATCAGCGCAGAGGGAAAGGGATGGGAAGGAGGGATATGATGTCAGATATGGCGCGAACGCACCTAGCTTGCCTCCTCCTAGTTATCTCCCATCCCCTCCCCTCCCCCTCCCCCTCACCCTCCCCTCCCTCCCTTCTCTCCCTCCCCCCAGGCTTGAGCGTCGGGCCCCGACCCCGACTGCCCCAATTCAGGAAGCCCGTCATCTGTCTCGAAAAAAGGCCGAGCACGTGCACGCTGCAGGCGCTGGCGGCCGCGTGCAATGGAAAGGGGCGCCAACTGAGCTGGGCCGAGGAGGAGCGGAGGAGGAGGAAGAGGCGAAGGAGGCCCGACGGCACACGGAAGAAACAAACTTCAGAAAACTGCACCGCCCCCTCCCAGCCTGCCAGGACCACCGTGGGCGGGTAAACTGCAAGATATCTCTAGCAATGCTTCTTCGCAGGTCGGGCAGAGGGTCGAGGGGGAGTGGTGCAAAAGGGAGGAGGGGGTCCAGACGGTAGAAGGGCAATTGCGTAGGCATAATTCTATAGAGGTCCGCGCGGATCTCTTGGGTCGGCGCTGCTCCCCTCCCTCGGCGCGCGGAACGCGACGGGGGCGGCGCTAGAGGCGCCGCCAGGGGGGCCCAATGCCGACTCGAGAAGTTCGCGCGGACCCCCGAAAGCGTTCTTTCATCGAGCGATCACTTTGGGGACCGGGGACCGCTACCACTAACATCACGAAAGCAGGTCCTGGAGGACAAGGGTCTCGGATGTGTCTCGCCGCTTCCGGCTCCCAGGGCCCTCTCTGGCTTCTGGGACCGTCGCACAACGTCTCGGGATGAAGACCTGATTTTCTTGTCATTCGCGGGACATCGCCCGTCACCGGCCCCACCCTCCCGCTTCCTCCCCCCCATGGTCACGTCACGATTCGCGCTGGAATTCCCAGACGGCGCTGGCGCGAATCGTGACGTGACTGGCCCCCATCCCCCCCCTGGTTGGGTTCGGTACCGGCAACGAGATGAAGAACTGGGACCCCTCTCCTCAATGGTAGGGACTGTATATTCTGGGGGGCGGCCACCAGCGGCGGCGCCGGCAGCGCCGGCAGCTGCAGCCCGATCAGGGGCAGCCGCGGGGGCTGCAGCAGCCGGCGCAAAGCGTCGCGCAGGCGGCGCCCGCCGCGGCGGAATGCCAGGTCAAGGCCGTACGACAGCTCCGCGCTCAGGAGCGGCCGCAGGTTGGAGGCCTGCCTGGACAGGAGGAAGCGCAGGACCTGCCAGCGGGGCGCGGGCTGGGGGCGCGCGGGCGCCGAAGAGTGGCAAGGGAAGCGGGGAGCGGGGGAGAGGGCAGGGCAAGCGGGGAGCGGGGAGGGCAACCTTCGCCAGGAGGGGGGGGGGCTCGTCGGACGCGAAGCCAAAGACGAGTGAAGCCCTCCCGCGCTGTCTTCAACGCAGGGGGGGAGAAGGGGGATGCTCTAGGTGAAGAGAGAAGGCACTAACATACACGTTCGGAGGTCAGCGCGGACTTCTTGGATCGGCGCTGCCCCCCCCCCCTCCCTAGCGCGCGGAGCGCGCCATGGGCGCCTGGAGGCGCCGCCGGGGGGGCCCAGCGCGGATCCAAGAAATCTGCAGAGAGCTCTGAAAGTGTAGTCTGTTAATGCGGTCTTTGTTCTTCTTTCGATACTCATGATTTTTCATGGCGTCGACCCCCAGGGATCTCGACCCATTCCCTGGGACCGGCTTTTCAGCCTGAGTAATGGTTTTACGGTCCTGGGGCCTGGCGAGGGCCCCTAAAAGGCTGAGAACGGCCACAAAACCGTCCGTCGTGCTTTATTCACGACACGAGAGGTTTGGGGAGGAGGCCTCCACTAGGGGGGCTCCCTCGTCGGGCGCGGTGTCGAAGTCGATGAAGCCCTTCCGCGTCTCCGTGTCCGCGACCACGCCCAGCGAGGCCTTTCTTGTCTTGTCTTAAACATGCTCTCCAGCGCGAGCCCCAAACAATGTGTGTGTGTGTCTGGCAATCGACGTTGTGCAATCTATGTGGGGGGCAATCTACATTGTATATATATATGTGTAAATATATACACAACCATAGATACATCAATGAATGCATGTATGCAAACATATATAACCTACGTATGCGCACGTATATACATACATACATACACAAATGCACACACACA